CACCCCTAATGAGCGCACTATTTTTCACGAGTATTTTTATCCCGTTTATTGGCTGCTCGCTTCACGAACTGTCGGCTGGATATTAATCATCCTCTTCGGATTTTATTTCTTCCGAGGACGGAGGGTACGCCAAGGAGTTAAGAGGAGGAAAGCGGCGCCGGAGGTGCGGAAGATTGAAGGAGGGATGTGGCCAGGAGCCCCTTCATTATTCTTATTAAACCGGCAACCATCAAATGCATCCTCCTTCTTTATCCTTCGGCAAATCCGATGGCTTTCTTCGCGCTTTTTAACTTTACCTCTGTAACGATTTCAGCTAAGAAAAGGAAGCGATTGCCGATTCACTTGGTCGCCTATAGTTTTCTGCCATACTCAACTCGGATAATTAATGGCAACTTTAAGTGGGCATTTTGGGTACATTATAAATCACGAGATTCGATCCTAAGTATCGAACAGTTTTTCCATCGACATTAATTATTAGTCTGACTTCATTTTGAGATTCACACGAGACACTGTTAAAATGAATATCGCGGTTTCATAACAATTCTTCTGCGAGTTTTATTCATAGAGGTATTAATTCTCCTGCATAATTTCGCCTAACTTGTAACGAGCTATGAAATTATACATTTATTTAGAAATTAATATCGAATGTGTACCGATTCACTTTTTAAGGCATCAAATTTATAATTTTACTACAACCTTATGTACTAAAAGTGAATTTTAGGAATATTTTTGACATAGTATTTAGTGCTATCTTCAAATTAGAAGAGCGGGGAAATCAATGTTTTTTTCAGTCAATCGTTATTTTTGTATACATCATTTTTGAGGGATTTTAAAGCTATTGCGCCTTCTTCCAAGGTATTTCTTAAATTTTTGCAAGTCAGATATATGGGAAGATTAGGGCAAGGCTCCTTGTTTGCAAAATGTTCAATCAGAAGGTAATTCTGGTATCGTACAAAGAAAGTTGTTCACGTGGGTGAAATTAATTCTTTAGAGGGGTGCAACTAAAATGTGGGATTATTTGCCTCTGGAAAATCTCATCTCGTGTTTAACGGACTCAACGCGCGTAGTTACCACTAATGGAAGATCAATATTTAACTCCTCGCGCGTTTCTGCACATTACATGGTCGTGCTTCCTCGTAGACGTACCAATTACGTTCAACCTTAAATTAAGGCCTAAAAAAGAAATGAGTTACTTTAATGCTCTTGATAAAATTATTCCCGGAAATTAGAATTTTATTTCCTACGGAGAAAATCAACTTCCTTCGCGTTTTATTATTATATTTTAATATTTTCCATTAAAAAATATTACTTTGTGTGACATGGTGATGTGTTATTATGCATTTCTAAGATTGGTACCAAGTTTGTTAATACGACTATGTAAAAGTCTGCATTGAGTCTTATTCAAGACAAGTCTTATTGCGCAATTCATCAGTTCCTGTTTTATCACCGAATTATCGCTACTCTAAATCTGTCGATAGAATCCTTCACAGAGAATCTACTCGTAAAATCCGATAGGATTTTCTAACTTTAGAAGTAACCCACGCAAAGGTGCAGATTAATACCCCAAAAAGGTGGATCTGAAGCAAACTCCAAGAGCGGCGTTCCACATCAAAACGGATTGAAATCAGAGCAAAATCAGCCGGAGGCTGTGCGAGCGAATCGAGGGATATATAAAGTGGCGAATTTCGAAATTCGACCAGACGCCCATCAGCTTCCTTGCACTACGAACGTTCCGTAGCTCTTGAGATACGAACATAATCACAGGTATGGGTTATTTTTAATCAAAGCTAACGATAGATTCAATGATATTCTAAAAATCGCCTTGGCTATTCCAGTTGCAATATGGTACAAAATAATATTTGCTCATTGGCGACCGCATACTGGCATATATAATAACACTTCTCGTAGTTTCAGACATTAAAAAAAGAAAATTATTAAAAATGATTTTTCTTTAAACAATTTTCCTTTCGTACGTAGAACACGCCCGTTGCGATCGCCATTGTGATCCTCACCGTAATATGAAATAAACAATGATATTATCAATCAACCTAGGCCTTGCCTTTGCTGACTATAATGTAAATGAAATGTTCGGTCCGTTGAGAATGGCAGAACCCCAATCGGGTTCTTACCAAAAAAGGCATTCTGTCGTTCAATCTGAATTCTATAGTCCATATGATTGATCGAGACAGTTTCATTGGGAACCACAAACCGCGCATGTACCATATTGCGATGGTCGTTTAGGTACGAGATGACTAGTTCTCTTAGTGTGGACATGTTCCGAATTGTAAGTAGCCGTGTACCTAGTTAATGCAAGTCTCGATGCGTTAATCGTGAATGCCTGAGATACGTATTACATCCGTTTCGTAAAGTACCGGGAAAGATAGTAATAGTATATTTAAATATTATTAAATCCAAGTACTCAAAGCGGGTAATATATATTTCTTTAAAATTTGAAAGCGAATACTGTATAATAAATAGATCCTTCATATTGATTCAGAAATATCGGTAAATTATTCAAAAACCAACTGCACTTATGGTAGAAAATTCATTAGATAAATCTGATTTACAGTATTTAAAAAAAAAAAATTAAACGGTGCATTTCTTATTATACCGGAATTTCGAATTAGAGCGGTTTTCGGCGAATGTATTTTTTCGCTTTAAAACATAATTTGTACATTTTCGGTTTCAGCTAATCGGTACATGGAACTATCAGCATTCGGATAATCTATACTTTGATTGATCGATAATTTGATGAATTAAAATCCCTCTCGAACGATTTTAAATACATTTAATATTCAGGGTTTGATTCGTTTACAGGATGAATTGTCATAGCGTCATGCAAAAGTTCATTCAGGCGCTTTTAATACTTGTTTTGACTTCTTGTCTGCTGAAGCTGTGTGCCTCTCAGGTATGACTCGAATGTCTAAATATCTTTTTACCGAACACAAATGTAGTTTCTCATTAAGTATAGAAAATATAATATTAAGCTATACAGCCTCTTTTGATTAACCGTATTCGATTAGCAGAATAACGTGTTTAATTTGAGTAATTACTTTTTAGGTAACATTGTCAAAAGGATGGGGTCCTGGAAAACGATTTGCACTTAGAGACGAGCAGCAGTGCATACTAAATAGAAAATCTGCTCTCACAGCCTGTAATTTGTTAATGGTTAGTTATAAAATGCAAAGAGATCTTATTTCTGAAGTCAAATGCCTGTCAAGTGTTAAAATTCCAATTGAAAAACGACGTACGTTGCATGTTTGTTCATCACAAATGAACCGCTGAAAGCGTACCACGAAACCGGGGTGTTCCGTAAAGTCCAGGAATTCAGTCGAATCTGTTATTAAAAAGATACGTTATAAAGTTCAACATGAATGTTTCATTCTCGCAAAAGCCAGGCGCCACTAACATAAAGTTAGAAAAAGAGATTTTCTTTCTGTAATAATCGTTTGATCCGCAACTTTCTATTCGTGATAGCTGCAACGGGGATTCGCATTGATGAGGCACTAGAATTTTATGATACGCTTTCACGGGTTCACTCGTAAAGGGGAATTTCGTCATATTCACGATATCTCGAAACTGAAAAGTAAAGCCATTTTCGATAATGTTTATGGTGCATAAAAATCAAGGTATACCGAATAGAATCAGCATCAACGAAACGGATTCAAATAGTATGTAATGTTAGAAAATTATGCTCGTTTCAAACATTGTGCTTCGCAAGTCCAATTCTGAATTTACCGAGGAAAAATGTACGAGGAATTATTTTTATCTTGGTCATTTGATTTTATATTCGTAAAGTCAAATGATGCAATGTTACTTTCCCACAATCAAATGCACACGCAGATAAAATTATAAATTCTCCATGTGTGTAAACTTTTTTTGCTATACAGTATAGTATAAATATATGAGGTTTCTCATTGTACACATGTTCAACATTGGAGTGTTAAGGTCCACAAGCATAATCTAATATTCTTATTTTAGGTTGGACTTAAACCACGGATATCATGTGAATCTCCAATGGCAGTCCATTCTGCACGTGAAGAAAATGAAAACAATTTAGGAAAACGTAACATTTTCACTCAGTACCGTTAGACTGCATTCGATATCATGTTTAAACTTTCTGCTCTTAAAGTAAATTCATATTACTTGACTTTTCCATTAACAATTTATAAAAATATATTAAAACACCAAAAATCAATAGCTAAAACTGTTATGCATATTATTTATACAGAACTGGTCCTGTATGTATCCTGTTTATAAAGAATAAAGATGGAATTGGTTTCAAATGAAAACGAATCAAAATTATTAATCCTCTCCAAGATATACTTTTATAAACTAGTTGGTGTTTGCTGTTAATCACTGTTTGCAAGTCTAATATTTTTATTCTCAGTGAGGTTTTATAAAAAATCTACTCCCTTATGGGTACGAAAAAAAAAAATTAATGATGTTAAAAATTCCGCATACAGATATGACGTGAATATTAAACACTTATATATGTTTTAGATATGAAGTATATGTTGTATTTTGCAATCTAATGAATTTGTTTTTTTTTCTTCATGATCATATTAGATAAATATGGAGTACATCCGAAATTCTACAAATTGATATTAAATGGCACTATATGAGACTATTCGCTCTTATGATATTATTTATTACGTGTAATTTTTATAATCAATTCTTAAATATGTGGCAATAGAAACCAGTATAGCACTCATTAAATTTCATGCATTCTAAAGATGTGAAGAGATCATAAATATCTTTTTGGATAGTATATTGGAGTCAATGATTTTAGACCTGATCAATACATAAGATCAAATCGGAGATGAATTAGTGGATCACTCACGCGCTGATGAGGTATTGTGCTGTCCTCGTGTGGAGCTTTTTGGCAACTTAAACGCCTAGTGTGGCGACATCTAGCGGAGAATATGGTTAACTAACATAGTGAATTTCTATCTCTTTTTGTTTAAATAAAGACGTGATTTTCCAATTGCGATGAATATCCAGAATCTATATCCAGTCTATGTACACTGCTAACTCTCGGTGTATATTTTTCGCAAAAATATAACAAATGCCGGCAACAGCAGGCAACAAGAACAAACCTTGTAAAGTCCCAAGTTGACATAACTACATACATAACCAAACAGTAATCAAATTGACAACGCCGTTAACGAGTTGTGTTTAACAGAAGTCGAAACAAAAAGAATGACAACGGTTCCTCCGGTGAAACCCCCTAGGGGAATCAAACATGCCAAAGAAACTGTAAGTACACTTAGATCATTTTGAATTGTTTGTTACTTTTAATTTTACGCATGAAAATGGAATGTTTAATTTTGAGGTTAAATGTCAATGTCATTTACACCCAATGAAATCGAATGATGAAAAGAGTTGTATACGTTTTCATTTGTTATCGTTTCGAAAATCAATTATAAGAGGATAATGGAAAAAACTAAAATTACTAACGTTAACCAATGCAAGGACATATTTCGGGTACGTTAAGTACTCCAGCCTATAAATACTAATTGTGATGTTAATAAATTACCATCGAAAGGTAGACAGTAAATGTGACGAATACAAAAGAGTAATAAGGTAAGAATGTACTTTCTTATCTCAAAATGTAATGTTGCAGAGTGGTTCGTTAATGTCAGTCATCCGTGCTCTCTCAGCAAGCGAAACAAATGAACATAGGGAAATTGAAAAAGCAAAGTTGGAGAAGGAGTATAAGCGATGTGACCAACGCCTCGATGAATTGGTATCAATTCATGATCATGACCTCACTAAAGTTATGGAGGTAATAAATTAAGTGATATCAGTTATAATTTATAACTATTTCAAAGTCCCTGAACCATTTTTATATGTTTCGTTCCTATTAACATTGTAGATACTTATTTTCTTTTATTTAGATATTTACCTCGTTATCAGAAAGAGTCACTACTTCTCGAGAAAAGATACATGCTGTAAAGGAGAATCTGAATGCATTCAAACAACTTCTCAGGTGTAGACGGGAAGAACTTATGAAACTGTGGTTGGAAGGTGTAGAGCACAAACACGTTTTGCAATTATTAGATGAAATGTAAGTTACTGTAAAAATAGGACATTTTTACTAAAATGTGAACAATAAGAAAATCAAGCTTTTAATGGTTACATTTACATCTTAAAAATGAAACAATTCTTGTTAATTATATTTATTCCAATCATGATAAAGCAGAAATACAACAAAACTATCCTTTTTAGAGAGCAACTACGAGAGGTTCCTTCTCGATTAGGCCACTACCTTAATAAAAAGTTATATCTTCACGCAACTCAATTGTTAGTTTCTGCATCATCAATGGGGACAGGTAGTTTGGAAGGTGTCGAAGCTCTTCGTGAAGTAAGAATGGAATTGAAAACTAGAAGACAGCAATTACATGTAAAATTAATGGAAGAGCTAAGAAAGCATCTATACATTGAATCAACACGTGAAATATCATTTAGAAGACAAGGTTCAGGCAAGGACTTCCTGAGAGGAAATGAAATCCGCAATTCTCGGGGATATAAAACAAAACGGGCCCTTCTTGATGTTCCATCGACTTTTCCTTCAAATCAAATATCTAGGTAAATTAACATTAATGGCGATTGTTAGTGTTGTTCCTCTTCAACAATTCATTTGTCTTTCTACAGGAGATCCAGCAATATAAATTTGGAAGATCTTGATAACATTACCGAAAACGATGACTCCTCCAATCCAGAAGATAATTCAGGACATTTTTTAGCTATTGTTATCGAGTGCGTTGCATTACTGAATAAAGTTCCGGAAGCAGTAGAGGTAGTTATACTTTTAAACAGTAGATTATGCATTATACCTGGATTAATATATTTATTCACGCTAATGTAATTATTCACAGGCAATAAAGGTGCAGATGCAATCTGAACTATTGAACATTATAGCACAAATATCGAGAGAAACATTGAAATCGGCCTCTAATTTAATAACAACGAACAAGATTATACCAGTTCAAACTACAGCAATAAATGGAATTAAAACTTCACGAAATCAATCCGTGTTGCTGGAATTACTGCAGACAATATTTGAGCACTTTCGATTAATCGCTGCAGCCCATTCAACGGCCCTACGTTGCTTCTCAAATGCCGTTAAGAAGTACAACATAGATATACGTTTGTACGAATTGGCTGATGTGTGGAGTAAAATGCAAGCAGTGGTGAGTTTGTATTATTATCCAAAATTATTAAGAATATAAGTTCTTTTTTTGCCGCCCTTGTCCGAATAATATAAAGATCATCACATTATCATTAATTTATTCTTCCCATTTAACATGCGTCCCTTTGCTACAATTATAATTATTTATAGTAATATTTCAAGTTTGAAAAGCGACTCTTATTTCATTAAAAATTGTCCACAATTTTTCGTTGTGGTTCTTTCAGCTGCAATTACTGTTAACCGAGTACCTAGATATACAAAATATGGTAGACGATCCATTTCAGTCGTCGTCTACTCTTGTAGAACCTACTAGTGATATAAACGCATTTTTTGCGAAACGGAAACCACAACGTCAAAAGACTAGTCTCTTGTTTAAGTTTGACTCGTCTTCTCATCCTAAGACACTCAACAGTTATCTACAAGAACATAGATACAGTAGTTTCGCTCTGACCGTAAGTTCACATTTTTTACACTTGGATAATATATACTTTACATTTGGCATCATTAATTGGTTATTTATGCGTTGATATAATTGAATACTGAATCGTATCTTACTTCAATTTTAAAATGATTACAGGAAAATGGCCATTCAATTGCCAGTAAAAAATTGGTTTGCGAACCAGACCCAAATAATATTATTGTTGTATTCAAGCCAATGATGCAATTTATAGAAGACACTGAACGAGTATTGGGATGCAGTACAGGGTATGATTTGATATGTAAATGCAGCATATACTTAATTAGATCAGACTCTCAAAACCGACATTTAAATATATAATTTATATTTAAAGATTTACTAAAATGAAAATAATTATTTTTAGGAATCCGTCTACATTAAGTTGTTTCTTGGCCGATTATGTAAAGGAAGTTTATTTAGGACGACATCACGTATTAGTAGCTACGACGATCGATGCGGCTACAAAAAATTCAGATGCCTGGCGTGCCACAACAAGTTCCGAAGTTATGAAGGAACTCGGATTATCTAGGCCACTACTGCAGGTAATTTTTTATTTAAAGTTCAGAATTATGTTCTGCGATGGCGATCCTGCGTTCGCAGCTGTGATTCTCGGGATCGGTGTTCCGCCGGGGAACTTGCGCCCCTTTTTACTGAAACTTGGACCGGGTAGCGGGATCGCTTCCCTGATTCCTAAGGGCACCAGTCGGGTTTGATCGCCCCGGTATCTCCCGATTTTCCTTTTTCAATCGGCTAGCTCCTAGCTTGTCGAAGAAAAAGTGGCTCCAGATTATGATATTAAAAAGATACAATTTTAGAAGAATCCTAACTTTTCTCTCTAACCCTACATATTGTTTTCAGAGCACTGTTAAGGTACAGCAGTGCGTTACTGAGTTGCGCTCTCTTATGATAGCACTTCCTTTACAAGGAGAACATTTCTGTACTCTTGTATTAAATGTACTTCACAATTATCGAGAGACCTGCCAGACCGCTTATCGTGGAATCGTGCATCCAGAAAGCGAGGATAAAAAAATTTGTTCCGCTGCATGGTTAAAGGATGATGATATTAGCCGGTTCATCAAGTAAGTACAGCAACAATCCTGTTGCTAGGAAAATACATTGATATGAATCACCTAATTGTAACGATAAATAAACATGATAAATCGTATTTAGGTAACCTACAGGGCATTGCAATAGTGTGTTATTCGTTACACTAAACTATTTTGATGTAATTTTTATATTTACTTATTTGGCTAGGTCACTGCCAAATTGGACGACAATGAAAAGTGAAGCACGCATTTATCGTGACGTTAATCGCCGCTCTATACGCCGTCAGGAAACTCAGGACGAGGAAAGTCCCGAGGAGGTTCGCCAACGAAACATGAGAGAAGCTGAAATTTTAGCAAGCAATTTGGGTGAAGGTGGAATCAATTCAAACGAAATCCTATCGGATATCGATCAGTTACGCAGTTTGGCCCTTTTGCAAGAGAGCATGGAATGGTTTGCTCAATCGATACGATCGTTTATCTTCGAATTGCGCCAAGCTAGCGCCGGGGGAGATGTGCAAATTCTTTTACCACCAATGCCAGCTTCACTTGTCGATTCCCTCGCACAAGTAGCCGACGAATACGACGAGTTGGCAAATACGTGTATACTTCTCTTACACCTGGAGGTAATAATATCTATCGACACATATGCATAGTTTTGTAGATACCGATATACAAGAAATGTCTTAATGTCTTATCCACATTACTGTGATTTTATCTACTCTGATTAGATTGTTCTAAGCCGTCTTGGTTTAATATTAACATGTATACACATACCACGTACTGGTTGAGAAATTCGACTTTTGAACCAATTCCAATAACTGCTAATACCATTTAATTATTGTACATCAGGTAAGAGTACAATGCTTCTATTACCTACTTCCTCGAGGAGAATACAGCTATCTGTACGGAGGTTCCAGAGATCCGCAAGAAGCAGATCCGAGGGTCGAAGAATTGAGTAGAATTCTGCAACACATCGACGAGGCGTTACAATCAGCTTTACATCCGAAGAAAACTAAGGTATTATTTCAAACAAATGAGTCATATAACATGTAATACTCAATATTGCATATAAGTTCTGCATGTATCCGTTAAGCTTAACAAATATCAAAGTAACATAACAATTAAACCTTTCAAGAGTCTCAACCATTTCCGAATACGTTAATGTAATCATTTCTGTATTACTTTTCAGTATATTTTCGAAGGATTGGGTCACCTAATAGCCAAGATCCTTATAACGTCCGCACAATACATAGCGAAGATAGATAAGAGCGGGATACAGAGAATGTGTAGGAACATCTTTATACTCCAGCAAACGTTGACTAATATCACAATGACCCGAGAATTAGCGTTAGACTATGCACGTCAATACTTCGAGCTCTTCCATGAAACACCGGATGAAATTTTAAACGGTGTACTAGAAAACGGGCCACAGTTCTCGGAACTGGAATACATGAATGCCTTTCAATTAATGTCAAGAAGTCAAGCAGAACACGCGGTAATAAGTAGACACCTAGAAAAATTGTCCGAGATTTTAGGTGACATAGGTGTTACCGTGTAAAGTAATGTCCATAGTAGTTTCTACTAAACGTATCGAATCTGACAATTACATTGGGAAACACTTTGGTGGCTACCATCACAAATGTTTTAATCACTGGTTCGTTTTTGTACAAACGTTGCGTTTTAATCGAATGTAAACATTGACGAATTGCCGAATTATGTACTTTTGTAGATTGTGATAAAACGTGCCTCTCTGAAGTTGCCTAGCAGTTTCATGATTATCATTTATATTTAGAAAGTATCTAATTATATGTATACAACTCGAATCATTTCCTTAAGTTCGCTTATTTATTTTAACTTTAAAGGAATGTTATTCAGCATGGACACTAATCCAAGTATCTGTATCAATGGTTGGAACAAAAGGTTTCCAGAACCAAGATTCATGTAATTTAGAAGATCGTCAACTATAAATTGTTAATAAAGGTTTATTTATTTGTAACGTTTCTCTATTATTAAGGTCTCTTTCTATTGAAGAAGTATATATGTATTAATACATATATCGACATTGAAAACTTATTGATTACCGATGGAATACAGTCTGACATTTTTGTTAAGAACTTCGTGTCGTGTATTTCGTCAATCAAGCATTATTACATTGAAGTTTTCGTAATAACGTAATGTACCTTTTGTTCGTAACGTTATTGCTAGAGGCCAAAAGCTATACTTTCATTTTCTCTCTTTTTGTTTACATTTATCAGATGAATATTGTCCTTTATTATTAAACAACTAATTTATACACATATGATACATTAATTTCGTATCGCTAACATTTCCTGATAGGTATTGTAGCGATGTTAAAATTTCTTTTACGGAATCAAGATCAATAATATCATTCACCTTTATAGTACCAAGTAATTTACAACCATGAACCTAGGAATCAGTAACTTTCCCTTCTAACGCATAAAATATAATTTGTACAGGTAATGTTTTCTACGATTTTTCGTTGCACCGAAAAGAATACGTCTGTTCAAAACATAACTTTACAGGTCAATGAGATACTGTCAATTTTAGGTCTCTCGGCAACTATGTCCGACACATTGACATGTACATATATGTTAAGAGAACTATATACTTTTGTGCCAGGATTCACCATTGAGTATCTCAGGTTGTATTTCCGCGTCTAATAGAAAAGCAGAGTTGTATAATCGATATTGCCCTTCAACATTAACGTAGATTTTGCATTTGCACTACGATTACAGGAACGACGTAAACTTATAGCAGGACAATAAAACTTAACTTATGGCTTTCAGATTCTACGTTTCATTCTTTGAATGCCAAGCGCAGTTCAATGCTCATCGCTTAAATCGTTACATTTTTTTACGGGGAACATATACATATGTGTTTCCTTTCAGAACGTTATACTTGCTTAATTTCTTCTCATTTGGATTGTTTTTAGCGCACCTTACCCACACATGTTTTCAAATATATATTGCACGTACGCCATGATGTAAATTTGCATTTGGATCAAATAAATGGATATTGTAAAAGGAACAGGTATGCATACTCAAGTATAAATTACTTCGTACACGTAATATATACTTTCTTTTATCTCTGCACATGCGTACAATAACCGTACATATGTACAGTACAGGTGTGAAACATGTATTTACAGTCATGCGTTGTGCGGGTATGTTGCAAATCAAAAGGTTTTTCAAGATGTATAACATGTTTATCTGGAAAATGTCACCATGGAACAATCCGAAAGCCGTGCAACAGTTCACGACACATTAACTACAATATTCTATAAGCAATAAGACAAGATACTCAGAATATCTTTTTATAACAATACTGAACAACGTGTTACAATGTACAATTAAATTGTCACTTTTAACGGATGGAAAGGACAAAGTTATAGATATTGTATGGAATAAGACATGTCCGACGATTCTTATCGTAGGTTCGATAGACTTATCGATGGCATAGGCGCTGTATTTGAAATTTCCACAAACATTACTTATATAGCTTTCATTCACGGACTGACTAGTTGCTAATGAAGCGATATAATCTTCCTTTAACTCGGTAACTTCTCATAAATATTTTCTGTGAACATCATTTCTTTTTCTTCTTCAATTTGAAATTTGAAATCGCGAGTCGGATCGTTTAAACTATGCCCCTTTCATTGTTAGATAGGAATAACCAACAATCCTGATCAAGGATCTGGATCCCACTTAACGTTGAGTTAACGTCGACGAGATACCATCGTGGAAATAATGTCGAATCGTTAACTGTCATATACAATATGACCTAGATCGCAGTGTCATCATTATAACTAATGCCGCGAATCTCGCGGATAAAATTCCGCGAGAGTATTGGCTGGAATACGTTTCAACATTTCCTTTGGGAAGATACGCAACAATTGCCATCCAATGTCCAAGGATTCGAAGACGGTACGATTTTCATAGCTGCCTTGCGAAATGAAATTTTTCTCAAACTTTGAAAGAAACTCAAGGTATAGGAGGTCATCTGGTGTCAGAGCTTCTTCTCCTACCACGGCTTTCATTGCCTGGACATCCTTGCCAATGGCATAGCAGGCATACTGAAACGGTAATTTCGCAATTAGAATTAATTCCTTAAAATTAGCAAATTTGATCAACTCATGATAACATAGAAAAATAAGAGAAAATTAAAGGTAGGCATTTTCTCACATGAATATCGACTAAAGAAACTTGATCTCTTTTTGTAAACGATCGATGTCTAAGTTTTAAAAATCATTATATATAAATGCCACAATCAAAAGTAACATATTATACTTGCCAGTTGGTTTGAAACATCAGAATGATCTTTACGCGTCATTCCTTCACCGATGGCAGACTTCATGAGACGCGACAAGGAGGGAAGGACGTTGATAGGTGGATAAATTTGCCGGTTGTGAAGTTGACGATCGACATAAATCTGACCCTCCGTAATGTATCCAGTCAAATCAGGAATTGGATGTGTGATATCATCATTAGGCATGGTCAAAATTGGGATCTGAGTAATGGAACCGTTGCGTCCTTCTACTCGTCCAGCTCGTTCGTAGATGGTTGCCAAATCCGTGTACATGTAACCAGGGAAACCACGACGCCCAGGTACTTCTTCTCTCGCTGCGGACACTTCACGAAGAGCCTCAGCATACGAAGACATATCAGTAAGAATAACCAAAACGTGCTTCTCGCATTGGTACGCCAAGAATTCGGCAGCCGTCAACGCTAAACGCGGTGTAATGATGCGCTCAATCGTAGGATCATTAGCGAGGTTCAAGAACAAGCACACATTCTCCATAGAGCCGTTTTCCTCAAAGTCCTGCTTGAAGAAGCGGGCAGTCTCCATGTTGACACCCATGGCAGCAAAGACGATAGCAAAGTTATCTTCGTGGGAATCTAAGACCGATTTTCCTGGTAGTTTGACAAGACCAGCTTGACGGCAAATTTGGGCTGCAATCTGTAGAAAAAAATATATTCTACTGTTAATTGAGTTAAACAAAAGTGGATATTCTGAGAAAAAGTTACCAACAGACTCAAGATAATTGTTACCTCATTATGTGGCAAACCAGCAGCGGAGAATATCGGAATCTTTTGCCCACGCGCAATGGAATTCATAACGTCGATGGCAGATATGCCAGTTTGAATCATTTCTTCAGGGTAAATACGAGACCAAGGATTGATAGGTTGACCCTGGATGTCAAGGAAATCCTCGGCAAGAATTGGAGGACCTTTATCAATTGGCTTTCCAGATCCGTTAAACACGCGACCCAGCATGTCTTGAGATACAGGGGTGCGAAGAATATCTCCAGTGAACTCGCAATGAGTATTTTTTGCGTCAATTCCAGACGTTCCCTCAAAAACCTGAACAACTGCTTTTGAACCAGATACTTCGAGTACTTGTCCAGATCGATTTGATCCATCTGCAAGTCTGAGTTGAACGATCTCGGCAAATTTTGGAAACTTCACTTCATCCAATATAACCAAAGGTCCGTTCACGCCTGACACGGTCTTATAAACTGAAACAAATTAACCATTGCAGGTGATTTATTGCAAACGATTTAAGATTTACTTGAAATGTACTAATTTGGTATTTTCTAGCATATAATTTGATCAACTAGAGAAACATCAAATCGTGTATAGAGAAAGTAGAAGGATTGATGATAAAAAATCAACGTAAGTAGTAATAAATGCAAATAAGATATGTATGACATATGCATATAACATTCGATTTTGTAAATATAAATGTAATCATTCACTTATATCATTCAAACTCTTTGTAAAAAACCGCGTGAAATGATTCCAATGAATCAAGGCACCAATTCTAAGGCAGTATACTGAAACAATGTAGGGACACCCAAAGAATAAACCAGATGGTTAAAACTCGTCTTAAGAATAATTGCATAAAGGGAATATAGCACATTTGTATAAAAACCCGAGGGTTCTGTGATTTTTATTAGTTTTTATGTTTATCCGAAACAGAGCCCTGCCCTGGTCACGTGCCACCTGAAGTCACATGACGCGGGCATTAACGAATCGTGTAACGACGCAAGATTCGATTTTTCTCAATTCTTCCTTATAATCAGACTTGGAGGAGTGTCACGAATAAAAAAGTCCAATAGACAAGAATTGTAACTTAACAGAAAAAATGCAAGAACGAGGACAATCATGGGATCAGCTGACTCGATTGTGCATCGATTAGCTACTACGCCCTTCTTGTCAAGGCTCGAGAACGGAATCGTCGGAAAAGCTCATTCTGAGTACTTACTCAACCGAGGCTGGGAAATGAAGTCCCTCGAGACGGCCAGGACATGTTCCTGTGCAGCCTGCTGAGAGCTGATCGTTTTCGAGTACATTTTCGAAGTTCGCAGGAGACTGGAGTCTGGAGAACCGACGAAGCAGACAGCTACAAGAACAGCGCTCTGGTCTGTCCCGTGATGTAAATCTACAGGCACGAAGCAGTGCTGCCAAATTGGAAATGCGAAACTTCCTGTCTGCTCCTGTCCAAGGTCACTGCGAACATAAAGTAAAAGATGGCGCACGAGTTGATTCGCGTCTCCGTAGAACCGTGCTGCACCTAACCACAATTTCTGAAAACATACATACTTTCCTGTTTTACGGCTTGGCCTTTCTCTCTTGTCCAAATTCTGGTGTATAACTCCAGAAATAACGAAAAGAAATATTTAAGAACAAACCGACAGTTTTCTTTGCGCGCTACGTTTAGATTTTAAAGACATGTAGTTTGTTTCAGCACCTACTATATTATAGATTGTAAGTTGTTATAAGGAGAATAAACCAAAAGTATAAATAAAAACACAGCTATCTCCTACGGTGTTTTCGTACGTCAATGCTACAAGTAAGTATAAATGCAGATGTGTGATTTTCTTAACCACACTTTTTACTTTGATCTATGTCATTTTAGATGATGTTATTCTTTAAAGATTGAGATAAAAATGTGTCACTTTTATCTTGTTTCTTCGTAATTTATTTAGTATCAAACGTTTGTGGCCTAAGTAATAATTGGTAGTAACAGTAATGATCAATGGCACTTATAATTATTTAAATTATATTAACTTTTATGCTTACTTTTGTGTTTGTTTTAGCAAACGAGCAGTATGACGGAAGCCCTTGCATTGCGTTTAAAAGAGATTCATGCTAAATGGGAAGCCCGGAATGAGTTGTCACGAACTTTGGATCAAAATGATTCTCGACTTTCTCTTGATGGTAAATATAATTCTTGTATGTGTTGCTTTATGATTTTCATCGTTTTAGCCAAGGTTTAACGATGAGATGTCATTTAATAATATAATCAGAGTATGAGAACTGAAATTAATCAATACAAATTTTTATTTTATCTCCATTATGTATTATATCAAGATTGTTTTTATCTGGCAATGTCTATAGGTCTTTATTAAACTTTCTGTAGATTATAGACATTCATATTATTATTGATATATATAAATGAAACTCAACAATTTTCAGGGAAGAGGAATTAAAAAGTCAATTTAAATTCTTATAATACTAATAAGTCATGTTTAAATATATATGTGTTAGAATATTATTGTGTTAATAACTTGTTTCTATTGTTTCACATATTGAAGGATTACGTCGTGCTGGACAACAGTCACAGGAGAGACAAATGCAAAATAGAGGACAGATTCGCAAATTACGTGAAAGTTCTCTTTATAAAATCAAGGAAAGTGAACCACAGATAGCTCATCTTGGTCATGTATCATCATCAGTTTTATATAATTGCTGTAACAGATGCACATTGTCTTCAAAGGCAAGTCTACTTAGAATCTGCTCTCTTTTGTTTATTATCCTAGATGATTAAACTCATCTTTTAAGTTTTTCAGGATTCTTTAATCAATACTATTAATAAACAATATCATATGGGTGGTATTGATCTAATGGCAATTACTTCAGGAACCTGTATTTTCTCGAAAATATTTCGCCATATATGCCATGTTTGTTCCTGTAAAAAATATGATTATCCTATGGTTACTGATGCTGTGAGTATTTAACTATAGATTGGTATATTATAAATACATGTATCTGTGATAACTAGCATCCCACTAGGTTTAATATTTTTCAATTAATCAATGTATGATAATTCGGAATTTGTTAATTGTGTTAGTATATAATTTATTTGAATAGGTGTTAAATGATCCAAGACTCAGAGAAGCAATAGAAACAAGAGCACAACAAAGTCTCAACCTCAAAATGGTTAATGGATTACATGCTGTCAACAAAGCAGAGATTACTGCCAAGCAAATAATGCAAAAACTTGAAAGTAACATTGGTGATAAGCTACTGAGAGTAATTGTATGGACCTTGTATAAAGTACTGTCTTGGTTCGTACAAACAGTTGTTCAACCTGCTCAGATTGAAGTTTTAAAGAAAGCTAACGACATAGGTCTACCCTTAATATTTATAGCAATGCATAGGAGTTATTTGGATCGCATTTTAATCAGTTTAACCACATTTAACAATAATATTAGGAGTCCATTATTTGCTGTTGGGAACAACTTCAACTCCCCACTTCATCGGTACTTATTTATGTTTCATAATTTAGTTAATATTTATATCATTACAGAAGTCTACAGAAAACAATCGTTTTCTAGGATTATAAGTGCTTCTATATAATTTTGAAACTGTAAAGTTGGTTATTAAAACTCAGAATTGTATAAGCAGTGAAAAAAACAGCAGACGATTATTGCTTTTATTCAGAAAACATACAATTATATTGATGTATATTTTTTTGTATTACCGTAAACACAATATTTATCTAGCTTTATATTATTTTACTTATTCAAGAATATTCACATGGAAACGTAATATATTTTACAATCATAAATGTTTCCCCATAGGTGGTTTCTGAAGGGCTTTGGTGGTTTTTTTTTAAGCAGACAAGTTCTTCGTACATTGAATGAAGATGACGAAATGTATCAGGTAATTGTACACATGTACATTATGCAATGCCTTAAGGCAGGGCATAATATAGAATTTTCCATCGAGGGTGGACGTACAAAAACTGGTAAACCCTGTATGCCAAAAACTGGCATTTTGGACGTCGTTGTTGATGCTTATGTGGATGGTACAATTGAAGATGCTTTAATAATTCCTGTTACCGTGAATTATGAGCGTCTGCCTGATGGAAGTTTCATTGAGGAACAATTAGGACAATCAAAGAAGAAGACTTTCATCTCAAATATCAAAGCTCTTCTATCTGCATTTACGAGGATTAACGGAATTGCAAAAATCAATTTTTGCCAGCCTTTTTCACTTCGGGTACATATCTTATTAAAATTGTATTTATTACTATTTTGGATAGATTTACTACAGTTCATATTTAACAGGAAATGTTGAATAATATTGGAAAATCACTAAATGATAAAGCAATTGCATCGTCACATTCTAAAAAGCATTTAACATATACTGGATCAAATTCATCGCTGTGTGAAACAAGAGCCATATTACAAGAACACTGTCATTTAACAAACACTGTTGCTCGACACATCATATACGGTAAAGATATTACTGTCTTCATGTAATAGTATATTGTATATTAAGAGTGTAAGAAGGGTCATTTTGAAAAGTAGGGAGGTTGTCGTCCAAGCGAACCGAGTCTAGCAATAAAGACGTTTTCAGTAAAATCACATTAAATCTATTATCAGAACCAATTTTCAATTTTTCAGAGAAATTACATAGTTCATCAGTCATTCTTTTTTGTTTCAGATTATTCAAAAGCGGTACCAATAATGTCAACTAACATAGTGGCATTTTTAATGCTGAATAAGGGTAGAAACGGGTTTACTTTGGATAAATTGGTTGAAGAATTTGACCAAATCAAAGAAAAACTAAGTTGGAGTAATATGGATCTCGTATTTAATGGAAGAACGATAGACATTATTAATCATGCAGTAAGTTTTATTATTTTCAACATATTTGAGTAAACATTAAAATGATGGTTAAAATTGTATCGTAGCTACCACTGTATATTTGAAAGACTGGAAATTGCATTATTTTAGTCAATATCGTAGCCTTTGCAAACAATAAAAATTTTCTTCTCCTCAGATAGATATATTAGGACCAGATTTAATTAAAGAGAATCAGAAAAAAATTATGGCCGAAGATTCTAATTCAGTTAAATCTAATTTCGTAACTTTAATTCAACCCGAATTATCGTTGCCAAACGTTATCGAACTCTCGTATTACAGTAACACTGTAATGTTGCATTATATTATGGAAAGCGTAATAGGTAAGAGCAGATCAAATTTTTATAATTTCATTTACTTTAATATTTCTTACATTTGTAGTAACTGCTTTACACTCTATTGTACGGTTTCAACTAAACAATCCCAAGATAATTGCTGAGAATAATGTCACCTTTTTTCACGACAACTTGGTAGAAAAGGCGCTTAAAATTTGTGATATACTAAAATACGAATTTATATTTTGTAAGCCCTGTCTACACTTAGAACAGGCAATAACTGAAGGTATAGATAAACTAATGACAGAGGATGTCATTGGATTAAAACAGGTATGCATTTACAGTTAAATACTTAATAAAGATTAATGTTCTTAAATTAAGGCATTGTGACCACTTTAGGAAGGCTGTTTGGAAGAGGAAATGTGGAGTAAACGATATGCTCATACCTTTGATGATAGTTCAGATGATGAATATAACGCAAGACATCGAACTCGGAAAATCGAATATAAGGTATATGCTTGAGATGTCGTGTACAGTATTTATTTTACCGCGAATTGAATGATTTTCACTAACAAAAACTTAACCTAATTAGGGCCTTTATGATAATTTATTATTTTTCTAAGTATAAATTTCAACGAAGTAAGGAGCAATTCAATTCCAATTATTCTATTTCCAAGTTATCCTTAATTTTAATTTGATTTTTCATAGCTCAACCTGGAAACTGAACGATTAAACTATACAAAATTCCTGAAGACCATTTTGCGTCCTTTAATAGATACGTACTCAATTAGTGCCTTTAGCCTAAAAAAACTGGTTGGGCAATGTCTCTGCGAACAAGATTTACTACATGAAGTGTTACATGCAATTAAGTCTAACTTGGAACTTGGAGTAATCAACTATGGTAAGTGAAGTGTTAAATTCTTTGTAACACGCATAAACAAATGTATTTTATATTGATAAGATCTGATTATTCTAATTATTCCTACCGTTTTAGGTGAGAGCTTAAATGTAGATGCAGTTAAGAATTCTTTTAAACTTTTCGAATCGTGGAATATTATAGAATTTTATTCACAAGAGAATATCAGAATGTTTTATTTAGCTGACACTTATGATGATAATGAGTCTACTAACAGTATATACGAAAGTATTGCTGCTCTCATATAGCCCGATATATACAATAGTAAAGTATCTTACGTATCAAATGATCATAAATTTTTATAAACTTCAATATTATTATTTACATGACTTTTATAAACTATAAATGGTTTTGGTAACCAAATAATTCCATTCGCTAAAATTCACTGAAGTTGCTAAAGTTCCATAAGGATAAAGTGTTGTGACAAATGATTAAAAAGTGTATTTGTTTATATTTAAATACTCTTAGAGATATTCTACATCAGCTACAATACCGCCAAATGCAATGAAGCCTATATAATGGTATTATTTTGTACTCTCAATAATATAATTATATAATAATCTAAAAACACAGTATATATTTTTCTGCATACAGAATGACATAATTAATCAAACGATTAAATGACTGAAAAAAGTAGTCGACATGATCAAAATCTAACTTACAAATAGACAACAGTCGTTATTGGCTTGAAGGTTGGCACCATCCAACTCTTTTGAATATTTCTAATGCCATTTCGGATCTGAAATGAATATTTAGTTTTTAATAATGCTATACAGTTATGTAGTTTGTGTTACTGGATTATATAAATTTATGATATATCAAATTCTGTAGGATAAACTGTTTATTAAAAAGAGACTGCGTTTATTTCTACGGAACAAAATAAAGATTGGTTGGTATTCTACGTTATATGTCAACTGCTGTATACTTTACCTGTTAAGAGTGTAAAGATGGAATCCATGAGTAACACCTGTGTCATAAATTTCTCTTATTAACTTCACAGCCAAATTAATCCCGTAATTGCGTATTTTCGCATTGTCTTCTTTAATTGGATGCAAATCCTCTAACATCTTGTTCGGGATATTAACACTGCACATGGTTGACATTTTCATTAAAGACTTGAAACTTGAAAAAGGAAAAATGCCAGGTATGATGGGAACAGTAATCCCAACGTGTGTACAATCTTTCACAAAATCCACAAATACTGACGATTCAAAGAAAAATTGAGTTATCACAAAACTCGCTCCAGCTTTCACCTATCAATTTGTCATGTTTATTAAAAATACTTTTGCGACATACGTAATGTGAATATAAAGTAAATACCTACTTTTTCCTTCAAGTAAAATAAATCTGACTCCTTTGATATCGAATCAGGATGCATTTGTGGGTATCCAGCTACGCAAATACAGATTTTTGAACCAAATTCAGCTTTAATGAATTTTACTAAATCGATTGTATATGCAAAATCACCGTCATTAAATGGGGCATCTGTAAAATACTTATAATAAGTGTTGCAATTTTCAGTTCATTGTTCTATCAAATCTATTTAAAACCATTTGAAATACCTCCTCGTAACGCCAAAATATTCATTTTTCCGCACAAAAGAGCTTCATCCAGTAGTTTCTTCACATTATTTTTCTTTAAATTATTTGCTACCAAATGAAGAAGGGTATTATTTGGTAGTGATGCTATGAGTTTTAACGAATCACAACTATTGCATTTTAAAACACCATGATGACTAGGTAATGCATAAAATAGCGGAAAACATGTTTCTGCATTTGAGGAGAATCTGAGAAATAAAATAGAAAATCATTATATTAAAATTTAAACCATTCATTTAACAAACTTCTCTATTTTATTTTTTAGATACTGTCATTATTTTATTACATGGCAGGGTATGTACTATAATAATTAATTTGTATGATCTGAACATCTTATATTTTATTAAATCGGTTTAAAACTATTGTTATAGCTGAAATTCATAAGCATTAAAAGTTCAGGTATTCAGAGTTTTAAACTTTAATTATACTCATATTATAATTTTAAACAATATAGTATGTACTACATATATGTGATGTACCACATACTATATATAACATGCAAAAGATTACAAAGCAATATATGTATATTTAATAATGTAATCTACCTTTCATGAATTCCTTCAAACTTCATGTTACTGGAGAGCTCAAGGCTGAAAAACACCTCTTTGCATTGAATTTTCTTTTCTATCGATAACCCCAGATTTATAAGTTCATCTTGTATCTCATTTGATGACAAACTATTTAGAGTAATATCCTTGCTGCATTTCCACATAATTCTATTATACAATTTAAAAAATAATATCACGTGGATATTTTTGAGGTTATATTACGAGTAATTTACAGATATGTTTGTGATTGATAACACAAGAGCTTCCTTGATAGTGACTCTATTTAATTCAATACTCTCATACAGCCAGACAATCTTATGTTACATTTAATTTTGTTTACCAATTTTAAGTCTGTTATATTTTATGCTCTGGTAAATATAACTTTCTACAAACTTCCATAATTGGTATATCTGATACTGGTGGTATACCACCAGACACTGTCGGTCCACACCGCAAGGAAGACTTATCTTCTATTGTTCTAACGTCATCTATATTTGGAGTTTTCAGCATGTTCATTGCTGGATAAATGACTGATGCAAATACAGCAATTGCTGTTACAGCCCAAATTGGAATAGCCACTGCCCAGTACTTAGAGGGCCAATAAGTAAGACCAAGCCAATTATGTAAAAATTCTTCTGGTACCACTGCCCATATTAAATACAATATAAAAACCATATAGGAGCCAATATATATTGCATATCCATAAACAGACCTTGGTCTGTATGGTGCAGGAGTGTGCTCTGCCATATTCTTTTCGTTTTTTTTATAAAAAAAATATATTTATTTGCTGCTGCAATAGTTTTATAGTAATGGATTTAATAATGTGTATATTCAGGCTCTGGTGGACCAAATTCATTCATTGTTTCGGTAACAAGAATTAAACTATCAAAAAATCCTGTTAGTCCCACGCGTACTTTACGTGCCTCTGTTCCAGAAAATGATCTGAAAGAATCAAACCAATTTTGTAGAAACAAAAAACATTGAAATTGTTACAGACATTGATGTAATGTTAACACTTAAATCAATTTGACTAACAATGCTGGATAAACTTACACTTTTAGTAGGTTGCCGTGCAAGCTTAAATTTTTTGTAACACCGCTTCGTTTAGGTTCCGGATCAACTTTCAATGCCTCGAAAGCGATTTCTGCTTCTCTTGCAGTTGGAAAAGGAATAGTCACATCACTACTCTATTATCAAGGTTATGTTACATTATGTTATGTTAAATTAATCAATTTATATTCTAATATAAATGCATAAAAAGCAAACGATGGTTACCAATCAAAAGGATACACATTTAAATCGCCCATAGCATGTATTAGTACATTAATTTATATAAAGTTAAATGATTGAATACATTGAATTACGTTCATAACATCAATTGACACATGATCACCTTGATCAAAATTCCCGCAATATTACGTTTCTTATGACCGGCTCCAATAGCTACTTACAGAGATGAGTTGGGAGATTGCTTACGGGCAGGATCGTGCGATCGCATCCAGTGCTGCCCTCTGGTTTCGTACGTTAGCTTTCACAGTTTTTTGCCCCCAAGGGCGGCGCAACGAATTTCTGATAGGAGCTGGCGCACTCGCGATGGCGGTACCATCTACCAGTCGCCATTGGCGGCTCACGTACTCGTGATGGTAATAAATCGGATGAATGCTAAAATTGATTGCTTTTTTTTTAAGCTCATAATTACAACCGGAATTAACCTTCGTTTAACTGAAATTGAGTTAAAGAAAATTTCGCAACTGAAACTCTTTTGCATCCACAATTAAAATCAGTATTTATGTACTGAAATATGTTTCTACAAAAAGATATTTTGTCTTATGCTCTTAGGTTATGTGTACAGTTTTGAACATTGAAGCTCTCAGGGCTGTAGACAATGCTGAAGGAATAAAATTGCCAAATATATTGTTAATGTTATGTTATATATTGTTAATGTTAATGAAGTATAATACGTTCTCAAGAAAGAAAACATGGCTTCAAGTTCCCGTCACATTCGGTTATTAACTTCTAACATTAAATATTTGAAGAAATATTTGCCTGTTAATAAATGCGCAATTGCAAATCCTTCGGTATGTAAAAGAAGTACTGTGATATTAGGTATTGAAAGTAGTTGCGATGATACAGGATGTGCTATTGTTGATAGCGATGGAAATATTTTAGCCGATGCACTTAATTCGCAACAGATATTTCACTTGAGGTAATTCAATGCATTTTTGTCACCAGTAAAACATGCCTTAAAACTCTTAGTATCTAAATATTGAAAGCATTGTGCAAATAATTTTTGTTTAAATTATTTTTTCCATTATAATAAATTCTTGTTTTTTTT